GGTTCTTCTGGTATGGCTGTTAAGGAGATTTTAACATCTAGCAACAATATGGTGATTAGAATAAGTAATGGCAAGTCATTAAGTAGAGGTCAAGAGTTAACTGTTAATTTATCAATGCTTGAAATAGTGCATTTCTTAGTTGTATTTACAGGGTTTTGTTGATTACCTTGCTCGTGATATCAGTCGGGTAGGATATTCTGTGGATTTTCTTGTTATTAGAACAGGAAGACAAGGCACGACTTGTTAAACAGCCCTGTTGGTGTAAGTAGAGAACACAAGAAGTGCTCTGTGGGACTCCGTGTCTGTTTTCCCTAGCATAAGGGGATTCAGGTAATCCTATAATAATGTGCACGGAACGTAAACTTGTTTTACAAGATATATGACTGTGTGTGGAAACAGTTAAGATAGATGAAGCCCTTCCCTGCTCTAGACATAAAAATAAATGTCGACATCTTTTGGCAGGTAATTTATGGTTGGTAGACAAGGGTTTCATTACATTAATCTGCCTTATCAACATCTTTAAGCTTTTTTAAGTTAGAATGACCTTGTTCTGCTGTATAATATGGTAACATCTAAGCCCACCAGCATCGTTCTTATAAGCCACTTGACTGTTGGTAGACTAGAGTGGCACTTTCATTGATTACGCTATCAGGAATCTGATAATAATGATGGCTTTGCTCCGGGTGGTGCAAACATGGAAAATGAAGGTCTGGAACGTGTGACCTTACTAGCCGCAAGTAGGATGTTTGAACAGGCAGTCTTGGCCATTGACGTGTGTCTACGTTCACAAGCATCTGCCGTAAAACGGTTTCCCGACAGAAAAAACATCCAGGTAAATTCACAATCAACAAACTGCATACTGGCATTCTTCACCTACCACACCTGAATGATATCTCCATTGTTACTCACTGCAAAGCACTGTGGGAACTAAACTTGCCACTCAGTACATGAACTAACCCTCGGAACTAGGGTCAACAATGGAACGAAGCATAAAAAAACAGGAACAGATTCACTTTCTGTAGTTTTCTGGCGATTTTTGCCTCCAGTCTTTCCTTTACTAGTACTTTTATGCATTCAAGTATATTTGCACACGTGGAAGCCTTATGTCTCACTGTCAGATCTTTCCAGAATATATCACAACTGTTTGTTGATACTTTTCAACTGCAGCATGTTGGGATGAAACACAATATCTACAGTTCTGATGCCGTTGCTACTGTTATAGCTGAGACCACACATGTCCGTCATCCATGTCTGACATTGAAAAGAAACCATGCGACATTGAACCAGCCATTCACTGACAGTCAGCACAAGTTGTGTTTGCCTCACATTTTTACATTCAAGGTCTTTCCTATTAAGGGCCAAAGCTGTCTTGGCATTTATATTCATTACAATTTGCAGTTTCTTTCTTGATACATTTTATCTTACTCATCTTTATTCTCATTTAACCCATTTGCTCATCTGAAAAAAAATTATGTTATGCTAAAAATAGCAAAAGAAAAGAGCATTACCTATGACTTTGACTATACAACTGGACATTAATCTCACTTCACCTGCTATTCAAAATGCCTGACATTCCTGCCTAATCTCCTCTGTTGTCTCAGAGGCACAACCATGCAAAGGGCAGCCAACTTGAGAACTGACGTGTTTGAAAACTGATGTCACCTCTCTTATAGAGGCATGGCTGGGTCGTGATGGAATTTCTAAAGGGGCAGAGTGTCGGACGCCACATGTGAAAACACCACGGTCACATGCACTGTACTGACAAGTTCAGCCTGCCACAGGAAATCATTATCACCTGTAGTTAGTAGTGGTTGCCAGGCTGGACCTGAAGCATCTCACACCACCGGTACTGCACACACAGTGGCAAACAACAACAGCCGTTGACCTTTGCCAAGGAGACTTGGCGCCGTGGCGCTTTGGTTGATTTGTATGTTACACGGTTTGCCACCAGGATGTATCGTTTTTAAACAAAAAGCAAAAATGTCCTGTTTCTATTTCAGTGCAATCCACACACGGTGATTTCATTGCTGTAGAATTGTGTACCTTTTTTGGGAGCCATTTTCCTTTCAATTATCCAAAGTGCTTCATCTGCACTTAACAGTATTGATTTTGTACGTACGTGTGGTTGCATCATTTCTATTCATGGCAATGTCAAATCTGAAATGACTTTTATTAAAAGAAAAGTCTATTCATACTCCAAAGTCTTTGCTTCTTAATGGCTCACAAAGCCCGATGTTTGCATGGGCATATTTCCAACCATGCCTAACTCCAATAATAAAAGTAACCTATTGTATACTTGGCAATCATGATTTCACCTGCTGGGAGAAATAGTTCTCCTGCATGTCGGAAACTATGCCAACCATTTCCTCTCATAAACTGAGGCTTCAGCATGAAGTCAAACTGGCGTGGCTTCAGTCAGAAAGCATCTGACTAATTGCAAGGTAGCAGCCAGTAAGCAAACAGCAGCAAGTCCAAATTCAACAAGTGTAAATCAGGCTATTGAATGCCGGCACCACTCCACACAAAGGGGGCCATTGAGGGGCTGATTTGGGCCCACCTGATGGGCGGATTCTGTGCCAGGTAACCCGGCGACCTTTCTAGAGTCAGGCGTTGTTGCCAGGGCACGTCCTGGTTCAAGTTCATTTCCATCCTGAGTTAGCACGATCTGTTGCATCCAATTTGAGGCGTTAGCTGAAGAGTTTTGGATAGTGTTACTGCTTGGACTTCTGTAGGAGTGAAGGTAAGAACTTTGTGGAAACTGTATGCACTGGAAGACTTGGTTCTTGAAAGTTATGTGTTGTCTTTAGTTATGTATTGTTCAACCATTTTATGCCAGTGGCTCAAAGAAAGAATTGTGTTATAGATTGATAGAAAGGCCTCAGTTAGATCCAGGGTGGGAGGGTTTTGAACTAAATAGTGAATAGCCTCTTTTCGTATCTGTGAAGTGAACCTATTACGGGCAATACAATGATATAATGGATTGCTTTATTGCACTCACTTAGGTGAACTGCCATAACTGGTTACACAAAGGAGGGTACAGAAGTCAGGTCTAATATTAAACGTACAACTACAATAGACAACACTGCTATAGAAAACTAAAGCTTTTGTGGTTTGCAAGGGGTCGAATTTTCTATCAAAATTGCTTAAGGTTTTAACACTCAGCTCAGGTAACAGTTTTGACCCACTTGTGGACATTTTTGAAGTATCAAAAGATGAACTTTTGTTGCATTATGTACGCTAAGAATTACACCTTAAGTTGTAGACTTTTTTTATTGCGAGGTTTTTGAGGCCAATGTGTCATTAGGTCACTGTATTATTTATCACCTGGCATCAAGATTATTGATGCTAGCAGAACTCATTACTTCTTGTTACACAGGAGCACAATGATATCATGATTTATGAGACCATTGTGTTTCTCTGTAACAAAGAAGTCAATTATAAGTTAAATGTTTTATTTGTTGATCGGTGAAATGACCCATATAGGAGGGTGTTTTGACTTCTACCTTCAAGGAATCTTCAGGTATTTCTTAGAAACATCTTTGACCACTGACATGGTTCTCTCCTTCTGGTAAGAATGGGGTCACAGGTGTGTTGTGTTGATAGGACCTCCTACACAGAAACTGTGTGATCATTGCTGCATTGAAGAGTTACATCTGAGAGCCCCTCCAGAACAGAATGCTTTGACTCTGTTAAGGTCACCTCCCCCTCAAAAAATGAGGTCATGTTTAACCAGAAAAATCACTGGCTGTCAACCTTTAAATACCCCCAAAAGACTGTTTGGATACATTTGTATTCCATTGTAGATGACTAAGTATTGACCAAGGGGGATGGTTTTGTCAGCTTCCTTTGTATCATTGTTCAATTGTCTATAAATAGAAAAGGTGCAACAGTATGTGGATGAAGGTTTCAGGTGATTGGTCACTGCTGACTGACTGGATTAGCAGCCAAGGGAGGTTGTGTGTAATGGTGATCAAAGTGAGCATATCTGATAGGCCCAGGGATCTGTTCAGGTAATCCAGGTGGTGTGTGGATTGTTTTCAGGTGTTTGTTTAAGCATCACCTGCGGTGTTGACAGACGGGTTGGAAAAAACTAGGCCAGATCTGAAAAGTAATGATGTTGGGTGAAAGTGATTGAAACATCTTAAGTATATCTTATGAATTCTTTTACTTATAGAATTAAGTAGGATTCAAAATTTTATAGAAAAGGTCTTGGAACAATTGAGTTTGCAGTGAAAAATGTAGCTATCAAGTTTTGGCCTTAATGATTTAATATGCTCTGTCTTACTGCATCATTTTGTACTGTCAGTACTCCAAATAAACTGCTAATGGATAGGTCACATTGAACAACTTGTTAGTTCAAAGGCCTTTTTTCAGTAGCTGGAAATGGGCAGCGCAGTGAAAATAATGGCTATTGATACACAAAGTAGTGAGATTGACAATTGGAGGCTTCTTTCAGTTACAAAAAGATCAAAGAGGGTTGAAAGAGATGCAACAGCTGACTGGATCTCTTTGATGATGTGACGCAAGCTTTGTTTATTTCTGTCAAAACACCTGTGTGTCTGTTTGCAAGCCAATCTGCTATCGGATTATGGTTTGTTGGGTGTCAAATCGACCGTCACACCACGCATGAAGTGTGCGTTGTGGTTTTCAGTGCCAGCAACGGATACTTGGCTGCCGCTTTCCATTTACAGTAGTGAAACTTTATATTTCTTGTCCTGCAGCTGTTTTGTTTGCAAATTCTGTTGATTTTCATGGTTGACAGATTTTTGACTTCTAGGTTAGACTTTAAGTTTCAAATGACATTGCTGTGAGACGAACACTTTATAGTCAAGAAAATTCGCTAAAAAATCTGACATAAGCAAGGCATACATATTGACTCATTATCTTTTTTGGTGAAGTATTTAGCCGTCTTTATATGAGGAACTGAAAATGAGCTTGTACCATGTATGTCAAAATTTTTTTTTGCACAGTATATTAAAACTGTTGTTGTATACCTGTAGGGTGCTGGACAGGATCAACTTGGAATCTACGTGAAGTCAGTAGTTAAGGGCGGCGCAGCAGACTTGGACGGGCGTTTGGCAGCTGGAGACCAGTTGCTGGAGGTTGACGGGCATAACCTCGTGGGACTTTCTCAAGAAAGGTATGCTTTGTTGCCATTAACCTTCTTAGTGCCAATTTTTATATTGCCTAGGTGACATAATGATGAAGATTATAAGTATATACTTTCCCAGGATGCACATAATGATGCTACTTTTCCCTTGGTTGTTCCACAGGGCTGCAGCGTTGATGACACAGACTGGGCAGACTGTAAATCTCAAGGTCGCTAAACAAGGAGCAATTTACCACGGTCTGGCCACACTGCTCAGTCAGCCGTCTCCAGTCATGCAAAGCAGAGGTAAGCCATCAAGACTGGGGTATAAAATCAGACCATCTCCTTTGTTTATCTTTCTTCTTTTCTTCTTTCTTTTCCTTCTTTCTCTCCTTGGTAATCTGTCTTGACAACCACCTCCACCTTCCTGTTTCATCTGTCTCCTCTCTACTGTTCAACGCTTAAAAAATGAACCCAGCAAGTAACCACTCGCTAACCAGGTGAAAAGGATTACTCTTTTCCCCTCCCAAGCTCACTTTTGGATAGTGTTTGCACAGACGTTCATGTAAGTACAACCAGCCAGCCATGGTTTTAAGGCACCTGTGAATTCTACAGTCAAGAAAGAAAGACCTTTCAAAGCTTGTTCCTGTCAGTGGATCAAGTCTTCAAGAGAGGCAGCAAGCTCACATACATGTACCGTGGTGATTCCATCAGACAAGGACATGCACCACTCTTCATCCGTCTCTCCATTTCATCTGTCTCATCCATACTTTCTTCTGTCTTTCAACGTTCCTTCATCCAATCTATTGTGGAGATATTGCTGTGACGTGGGACTACTCCTTAAGGGTGCTCTCCCCATCCTGGTCCATTGTGTAGTGGAAGACTTTCTTGTGTAAGAACTTTGCTGTGTGGCCATTGCTGGAGGAATTTTCTGGAAACCCCTTTGAGCCTCCTAATGCGGTAACCCCCAAGCTTTGCTGCAGTGCTTTGGGATGCTTTGGATGATGGCCAACTTCTGCTTTTCTCTCTCTGTAACATGCCAGTGGATAACCAAACTAATGATAATTCAAGGCCTCCTACAGCTGCATAGAACTTGAGAGAATAACACTACTCGTTTCATCTAACATCATATCAGAAGAGTTGTATTTGTTGCCTAACTGTGTTACATTTGTGACAACATTACAGTTAACCCATTATGTGTGTACAGTTTGTTGACATTTGCTGTAATGCAGTAAACTTGACCATGACTGTCCTCGTTCCAGTGTCACGTCGCAGCCTCGGTCCCACTGCCCTCAGTCCGTCACAAGGGGGTGATACCACCCCCTCCAAGACGCGCCCTAAGAGCGAAGATATTCTCGCACGCCATACAAATCAAGTGAGCACCCCACCCTGGCGAGAAAAAATGGCACCCGAGGGGGAAGGTTCCGGCACGGTACAGAGGAGGGAGGAGTACCGCTCCTCCCCCCACCTCCACAACACCAATAGTAAGTCTAAATCTGTATCAGACATTGTCAGCGATGCCGAGGCCAGGGGCAGGAGAGCTCGCAACGAGATAGAGTCGGTCCGTGAGCAGATAAAAGTCCGTAGAATCATTCGCAGGTCCCACTCGGCCTCGCAGAGCCGAAGTCGCTCGTCCTCCCTCTCCCGTCTCGTTAACGATTTAGAGAGTCGCGATTGGAAGGCGAAAGAGGAGGCTGAGGTCCTGAAGGGAGCTCGTAGTCCCAGAAGCCCCCTCAGTCCCAGAAGCCCTAAAAGCCCCAGCCCTCGGGGAAATAGGTCGTTCAATTGGCCACCACCAAAACAGGAAGAAGTCCGTAAGTCTGACAAATTATCCAACGGTGTGCCTCACGTTGGGAAAGAGAATTTTAAGTCACGATGGTCGAATGAAGTCCTAATGAACGGGGATGTATCAAACGGTGTAGTTCACCACGTAAAGAGGTCGGCCATCACGCACAATGTGCGATCCTCGGGAAGGGAGATAAAAAGGTCTCGGTCTTGCTCCGAGCTTAAGGAAGAGTTTGAAAAGAAGGAAAAGGAAGCCAAGGAAGGTTTAGATACCTTAAGGCTTAGCATGAAAACCCAGGCCTCTCTCAGCACAACCGAGTTAGGCAAGATTAGAAAGTCTGTGTCGATCTCTGACTATCAGAGCAAGGCAGAGGAAAGGGATAGGCAAGCCAAGAGGGACGAGGAAGCTCTTAGCCAGAAAAGCCGCCGGCATTCGGAAGGGTCGACTAAGTACTTTGTATCAGGTATGGGACATCCATGTTGGGACTCATCTACCTGTGTGCCTACCTGCAACATGCTTTGTGCTGGGACTTTCTTCAGGTGTCTCCAAATAGACATGCCGCAGGCAGTGTATACTTTGATTATACTTTGATTATATATACTTCTATATACAAAATCAATGACCATGGCTATTCTGTTGCATCTTTAAGTCATAGTGCAAAAGCGTTGGTTAAAAGATATCAGAAAAAGTTGTAAAAGATGTTATTGCAGTTTTGGATTCATGCATCTTGCTACCGTAACACGGCATGTTAAAGATTTCTGCATTTGGCATGATGTTTGGATGTCGGCTTGGACAAAGTATCAGCATGAAGCATGTTCAGTGTTGTAGTGATTGACTCTGCCCTGGGGTGGGGAGGGTCCTGTAAGCAGTGGGTTACAATCCAGTCAGGAGTTAATGAATACTGACCTTGTTTTGAATGTAATGTACTAACCGTGTCCAAACTATCCATGCATGTTCACCCAATATAGAACCTCATAAGTCCAGCAGGCTTGGGGTACGTTGGGCTAACACAGTGTCAGCCCCCTCCCTCAGTAAGTATATAGCCCGTACACAGCTGGCTGGCCTTGCTGTATCGTGCTGTGTAGTGCTGTACAAGGCTGTACGCATCAGTGCTGTTGTAAGCTGGTCTTAACCTTGTTTTTGTTGTTGCCATGTTGATTATACAATGTACTTAGATGTAGTTGCATGCATATAGATGTAGCATGCAGTGTGACGTGTTATCATTATTTTACTAACCAGTGTTTTTGCAAAGTGTGTTAAAATGTGTGTTGACTAAGTTGATGTTTTTAACTTTGTGTTTATTTGCATGGCAGATGACCATTGCAAACATAACATTCTGTTCGCAAAGAAATGAAACTGATGCATATTTTGTTTTGTTTCACACCAGTCCATCAGAATTATTGATATCAGTTCACTAGTCATGTGTAGATGTATGTGTATGTTGAAAACCTGATTCTGGAAGGCAATAATTCTTCAAAATCACAAATTCTCATCTAGTCCCTCAAAAAGATGTAAGAAAGAGATGTGATCATGGATTAGTCATCTTCATGTCAACTCACCTGAGAGCAGTGCTACACAGGAAAGGCCTTCTGGTATGGTATTAGATGGTAGGAAGTTACTCTGTCATCATGACAAAGATGGATGCAGTACATTGAACAGTGGACCATGTCAACATCAGTGGAAGAATCTGAAGGGCAACCTTTCAAGCCCAAAGTGTCGTCTACTGTATAGATATAGAGCTCCCCCATTATCTGCTATCCTTGACGGTGTGTGGAGTCCACCAGTCCTGGAGATTTACTATGGCTTTACCAAGGTTCACTTATCCACTGTGGTCGTGGAGGAAGTTGTCAGCTTCCGGGAAATGCCAGTAGTGTGTCTTTGTCTTGTGGAATGAACAGAGGACTGGCACAAGGACTGTTGGTCACAAGACATTTCTTGACAACATCTACTGAAATCCTGAATGTGGAGGAAACGGAGTTGTTGACATCTGTGGATGGTGGCATAACACCTGAGGAGAAGCCTTCAAATGATTCAAATTGCTGCCTTTTACTTTTTTGATTTTCGAAGCACACCTGGGCCCACATTTTGTTCATCACATTTTGTACGTGATGATTTTTTTCTTGTTTGAGTTATTGAAAAGCTCTACCATCAACACCAAAGGAGGTTTTCTCCAAAGTATCATTGCCAAGGACACATCTAGGTGTAGATGTGAATGTCGGGTACCTTGATTGTTTCTTCTGTAGAGCTACAGTTCTGTTATTAATCCCACGATGTTGTCTTTCCCCTGCAGCGTACAGCCAGATGTACGGCCAGGGCCGTCCCTCGCCCCAGCAGCAAGGTGGTTACCGGCCGGCGGCGTCCAACCCCAACATCCAGGCCCACCTGAAGCAGCCGCCACGTGAGGCACCCCGCTCCCAGTCCACCTCCAACCTGGGCTACCCGCAGCAGGCCGAGCCCCGCAGGGTGGGTGAGATGCGCCGAGGACCGCCCCCGCCGCAGAGGAGCCCCAACACCACCGGCAACTACGCCGACCCGCGCGGGGACAGATACGGCGCCCCTGACCACCGTAGAGACTATATGAACGTAGACCCTAGAGATAGGCACCCTGCTAATGATCAGGACAGGAATTACGTGGACCAGAGGTACTTGCCTCCAGAGGCTAGGGATAGGTACGCCCCGGTAGGGCATGCTAAGGAAAGGTACTCTTCTCCAGACCAACAGGCACCGAGGTACAATGTCACCTACAGGGCTGAGCCCTATGGCTCCAAACCAGGCTACTCTGAGTCCCCACCCCCTCCTCCACCACCCCCACCCCCAGAGAACTACGATGGTGTTCCACCTGACCTTCCACCCCCTCCCCCTGACCCTCGCTACACCGACAGCCCCCCTCCACCACCACCACCCCCTGCTGAAATGATGGGCCGGTACCCAGGCGGTCGCCAACAGAGCGACTCTCCACGAGCCAAGCTGGCGGAAACGATGCGCGCGGCTCCGTACAATCCTGAACAGCCCAGTCAGCTGAGGCTACGCCCCACAGACGGCCCCCAACAGTACGGCTCTGAAGAAGAGAGGAGGTTCATGGAGATACAGGAGATAGAAGTCGATGCCGAGAAGCGGAAGCAGCGGATGAACGGCAACAAAAACTACACGTCTGAGGTGACCTACGTTCTTGAGAAGAGCGACACCCTCTCCCCGTCCCCATGGGAGAGGGAGAAGAGGGCCTACATCGAAAGGCAGATCAACGAGCAGCTGAAGCAGATGCGAGAGCAGGAAATTCAGGAGTTGGAAGGCAAGAACTACAGACGACCTGAGGAAGATGACAGGCTTCGTAAGCTGCGAATGGAAGACGAGTTCCAGCGGAGGGCAGAGGAGGCAAGAAGGCGAAGTGAAGAAGAAGAAGAGGCAGCGTCAGAAAGTGATGAGGAGCCTCACCCCAAGCAGCTTGTCCGTGTTGTTGCAGAAGAGGCAGAAGCAGCCAAGCAGCGCATCATGGAGAAGGACCACCAGCGCATGTACGAGGAGGAACGTCGCGAGATGGAGAGGATTAAGGAACAAGAGCATCGTCTCCAACAGCTACAGGCCGAGCGTGACGAGCAGCGTCAGAGGCTCGGACAGAAGATGGACAAACGTGAGCGCGAGCAGGAAGAGTGGCTGGAGAAGCAGCGCCAGCTACGTGAGCAGCAGCGCATCGAACAGGACGAATCCAGGAGACTCCAGGAGCAAGAAGAAGAGCAGATGCGCCACAGGAAACAGGAGGAGATCCGCATCAAGCGTGAGCAAGATCAGCAAGCTTTACGTCAGATCCAGGCACAGCGAGAGTCCGAGGAGAAGGCGTACCGCGAGGCGGAGAGGAAACGAAGGGAAGCAGAGTACCTCACCAAACGCCAGAGGGAGCGGGAAAGGGAGCGTCTGAGGCAAGAACGCCAGGAACGGGAGCGCCTGGTTCTGGAAAGAAAGCTTACGTCAGAAACCCTGATATACAAGAAGAGGGATTCAGCATCTGACCAGAGTTCAGATGCATCCTCTCCCACAGCCAGGGAGCACCCGGGCGTCCAGTCCACCCGAGTCAACGCCTACCAAATCCCACCACCAGAGAAGACCTACATCGCACCTCCCGCTCCCCCGCAGCGCAAGTCTTCGTACGAGTCCCTGCGTGAATCGGACAGGTACAACGACAACACATCTCGACCGTACAACAACTACAACGACTATGACCAGGAGAGGAAACCGTCACCTCCCTCCAAACCATCGTACGACTCTCTCCATCCCCCCTCCTCCACTGCCTCCTATCATTCCAGTGCCTCCTCCTCCTCCTCCCCCTCTCATAAACCAGACGACTTTGCATCTCCAGCCAACTCCCAAGGTCTAAACACCTACAACACATCTGTGGCTGGTACTACCCCTGGCATCATTGGCGCGCAGGAGGTTTACCGGGACCCGGTCATGCGCCGAAAAGCCGAAAAGAAGGCCCAGGCCGTCGAGGCAGCAAAGAAAAAACCAGGTCCTGAGAAACTTTCCTTCAAAGACCGCATGAAAATGTTTGACCAGGGGCAGACCATTGAGAAGCCACGTACGTCAAAATGGCTAAAGGAACATGCGCCAGAAGCAGTGAAGTAAAGAGTAGCAGTAGGACCAGTGTAGTGGAAAAGCCTTTCTTATACATGTAGTGATGGAAATGAAGGATAACTAACAGCAAATTTAGGTGGAAAGTAATGTACTGTGGAATAGTGATGTTTATCCCACAATGATAATAGTCTACAAACACTTATTATAGCCGGGAAAATACATACTATGACTCACTTCTTGCATAACCAGAATCTGATGATTCGCTTCATAGAAAGAATACAAATCGAGCTGAAATGTAAAGACCTCTCTAATCATGCATCTAGGACTATTCATATGTAGTGAATGAGTGCTTTCATGAATGTGGATGTTCATAATAGATTGGATGTTTTTTGAATGAAGTTAATTTTTCTATCACAGTGTAGATTTAGCTGTAGATTGGAAAAAAACAGAAAAATTTGCAGAATTTTTGTACTTTTTACTTCCTGTACAGAATTTTATACCTTAAGAGTTGACTGGAGTTGCGGAGTCTTGAATTCGTAGGTGCTCAGAAGAGAGTAAAGAAAGAAGCAGGCAGTGTTCACATCGAGACTGTGATAAAATAAGGCATGGTGGTGGCAAAAGCAGAGTACCTCAGACTGTCCCAAGTGTGCCAAACGTCTTGCCTGCTCTAAACTTGGTCTTGAGAAGGGTGCCTCGGGGGGATGGTGGCATTACGACTGGAGCTTTGTACATGTGCGCAATCATAGATGGTTTGCCTTAGCAGACAGCCATTTGAATACTGAGACAAACGTTAGGGCTATACCGATGTGTGTATGACATGTATTTCATGCTAGGATGCTTTTTTTTGCCATTTGCTCATTCAAAGAACATACTGTTATTGATGGTAATTACTAGTAAGGAGTAGGAAAGGAATTGTACGGATTGCATGGAAATACTTATTTTACCGTGAAGAAATACTGTAAGGTCCAAGGTCCTAGCCTGTAGTGAGTTTAGCATTAACACATTGTAACCCTGAAACTTCTGCAACTGTATTACTGTAGACAAGACAGGGAGGCTTGGTACCATTCACTTCAGTAAGTTTGAATCTAACACTAGGTGTTATTTGGTAGTAAGATGTTAATTTTGGATTGAGTACAGATTTGTGGTAGATGAAATTGTGAAATTTCATGTAACGGAAGCATAGAAGGTGTGATCATAACGATTAAGTACAAAAGTCGATATTAGTGAACTAATTGATGCTCCTGCTGTGGTATATAAGATCTGTCAGATCATCAGGAAAGCACCCAACTGGGGACAGCAGTGAAGTTTGAGCTCTTTGATTTTAAAGATTTTTTTTGTCATTTCTTTTTAGAGATTTTGAACGTACGCAACAGAAGAGTTTTTTCTGTACAGTGCCAGTTGCTTTGTGGTGAACATCCATGTTACTAAACGTGGATGACACCAATAGCTTTTCTTTCCCTGTATCATGTATATATCACTTCAGCGTTTGCTTGTATGTACACATTACTATGTAACTTTCACCGACCGACAGGTTAGCCATTGGTTTTGCGAACTATATTTCACTTTTCCTATCCAGATATATGTCTAACATCCATGCAGATTGTACTCATATACATGTATGTAAGCAGACTTGTTTTACTTGTATCATCGATGTAGCAAACCTTTTTTTCTGGGATATCCATAACAACCGTTCTCTCTTGTAATAAATCCATTGACATAACACAGACGTCTGTTTGCTTTGTTTCTGTTGACTGTTGTACATCTGAAATGGATATCAATTTGAATTTTATAACAATAGATTGCATAGTCAGATAGCCTGGTTACCAGACCTATTTTAGCATCCCGAATCTTTATCCTCTCTACAAATATTAGGTTTGCTAAAATAGTTCTGCTAACCAGGCTATGGTCAGAATGTAATATGATGATAAAGACATAAATTTGATGAGACCGCGGAGAGGCTGTGTAGGACTCAGGAGCTATAATAGGTTTGGTAACTAGGCTACAGACCACCTAAGTCCCAGTAATAAAATTGGTGTGGCCAATTCATTGTAAAAATTTAAAAAATACCAAGAAAACTGCAGCAAGAAAGTGTTGTGCGCTTCATTGCTAACATCCCAATATGGAGTTTTGGCCCATTTTGTCTACATCCAGAAATTTGTAATTTGATTTCTAATCGTAACTTTGAAGTATTAAAATACAGGCATACTGTATGGTATGTAAACAAAACAATATGACACGATTTTCCCCCTAGAGCTACTTGAAAAAAAAATGGTGAATGGATGTTTTCGATCAAGTGTCAAAATGTTAAATTGTGTATGACCAAAAATATATGCAAGTTGCAATAAAAAGACAATGTAAAAGTAATGTCAGAAGTGGGATTCGAACCCACGCCCCCATTCGGGGACCAGAACCCTCGCTTTGAATGCTGGGAAGGGACTTCCACCCTTGAGTCTGGCGCCTTAGACCACTCGGCCATCCTGACATTTCATGCTGTGGTCGCTCACTGAATGGGATATCAAACGTTGACCAGCGTCAATGGTTACCCGGAAAGGCTGATTCTATCTAGTTACATATTTTCTTGTGATCTAAATGCGTTATGTGGATGGATCGTAGTAAACGTAAAATATTCAGAACGATTTGTACACGATTTGCATCGGATATATGACAGCCTTTTTTTTTTAACAGCGATGACGTTTTCCACAGTAATGACACAAAACCAGGGGCTTTTCTAGTCGGTGAACCCTCATTTAGTTCTAGAAAAACGCCAAAGCTATTTAAAAACGCATCCTTTCCTTCTAAAATGGCTTGTTTATGCCAGGCTAGTCACGTACCTTTTATAATAGTGATGCAACACGCAGCGATCTAGCTGCGTAATTCCTTTCACCTGCTAGAGGTCGCTTTTGACACGTGAGTGTGAGGCTGCAGTACATTATTTGGTCTGTAGGCGTCGCTGCAGTACCGTGTATTGATACCATAGAGACAGCCGCTAGGAACGTCGGGAAGGGAAATACCTAGCTTCGAAAAGTTTCTGCGAAGACTGTCATTTTCTGATCAGGGGAGCGGTTTCCAGGCAATAACTAGGTAAGTACAAGTTGGATATCGGCGTGCATGGTACATTGTAATGTTATCACCCAGATCACCGTATTGGGGTAAAGATTTTAGGACACAAATGTAGATTTGGACCGAAAAAACGCGGAGAAATTTTAAGATTGACAGGTGGGGAGGGGGGCGAGCTGAACTCACACATTCAAGTTTTAATACGGTTAATATGTCTATGAAGAAACGCGTTATGATGTTGCAACTTGCATTTTACTCTCCCCAAATTATAGATTCTACTCGTCGTGAAATAACGTTATCATCCGCGATCAGTTGACGAAAAAGAGCAGCCCAAACGTACTTGAAGTCTACAGTAGTTTCCTGCCAGCTATATCATGGACGAAGATTCTCCTCCCCTCCCAGCAGTGTTTCTGACATGCTAAAGCGCCTCCAGTGGCCGTTATTTGTTGACAGAAGGAGAACCGCTCGCTTGATATCTTTATACAAAATTGCTCATGGACATATTAATACTCAAATGGAACAATATCTCAAACCTGCCCATAGGCGTACCAGAGGAAGTCATGAACATAAATATATATCAAGCATTATCTGCCAAAACAGACTGTTTTAGATTTTCGTTTTTTCCACGAACAATAAATGAGTGGAATAAGCTGCCGGACCAGTTAGTAAAAGCCCAGACAGTGGAGGCCTTTAAGGCCGGACTCCTGGCCGTGCAGCCATAGTCCGTCGCACCCCCCCCCTCTCAGTGATACTAGTACCCCAGCAGGGGTTGTTAGAGAGTACACAAGAAGAAGAAGAAGTATAATAACTTTACTTTTTGTACGTTTTAAGAGATAAACTTCAAGGTCCCAAGATGATGCGGAATGTGCACCTGGTGCCGGAGGACGAGGATGACATCTACTCCGGCTACAACGACTACAACCCGCAGTTTGACGAAGACATCGATAACGACGAAGGTTTCCAACAAGCGGTCAAAACCAGCCATGGACGACGGCCACCGGTAGGGGACACTTTGCAATGTTTTCAATGTCATAGAGTTTAAATGTGTAATTTCTAGCACTATTCTTCAATTTCTTGCAAAGGGTTCCTCATCCTCACCTATATCTGTATTGGTCACTAGAGATGTTAGCATAGTT